GCGCATACCCGCCTACAAATGGACCTACCAATGTTCGTCATGACAAGGGGTCTGGGTATTTCATGTTGCAATCTGCACCGAATGCTTGCACATGTTGTTTTGGGCAGTTTGCCCTCAGGGTCTCGTTTGTTTTTCCGCATCTGCCTCGAAACCGCCTAGCCAGCGGTTCAGGATCCTGACGCCCCAGTGTGGGGCTTGGGAAAAGGCACATCGATGTATCGTGTGCAAACTCTCATGTCAATTGCTTTCACATACCATACATAAATCATGATAAATATTATACAGACAGTAAGTAATATGTCGTATATTTAATTATACTATATAATTCTGTCTGATTCAGAATGAGTGGGTCATATGCCAATCTGGATTCTGCCCATACTTCTTCAAGTCTTGGGAAAATCTGAGTTTGGTGCGGACGCACCATTTCGATGGTCGAAGTGCCCATCAGTGCCTGCCACTGCGCAGCAACCAGTGGTAGTGTTTGGTCTTTAGCCACAACACTCAGAGCTGTGACGTAGGTCTTTGCATTGTGTATCCATAGTTCCTTCCTTCCCATTAAAATTTGGCTGATTCAGTACTGATTCCAGGCCATTGATTCCAGGCCAAAATTCATGGTTCGCCTTCAGATCATGCTGAAAGTATGGCATGTTGACTGTTTCAAACTTGCAAAGGGCCTCCGGTTGACGACGAGCTTCATCTGGGATGTGGCATCCCTGGCTTTGGAAACAGTAATGCTGGCAAACCTAGCTTGCGTGACCTGCATGCAGTGTTCCTGAAGTGGCAGAGCCGCCCTTGAACCTGACACAACCAATGACCGTTGGGATGCCTGGATGAGAAAGGACGAAACTTCGTCGGAGAAATGATTGCCTCGGAAGAAGTGATTGGGTATGGCTGGCCGCAACACTGGGCACACAGAGGACAACAATCTGATGATGTACATGTGTAGATGTGGATGGTTCTTCCCAAAAATGTTGTCTTCCCTGCCAAAAAAATAAACGAATTCGGTGGATTGTGAAGGTCCACCATTTAAAGAAACAGTTATATGGGTGCAAGTATGTATGGAGGATTTTGCATTGGAATTGAGCTGTTCTTATCCCTGTTTTTGATAGCTGTGTAGGTTTCAATGGGCATGGTTCGCATCACAAGGGCATGTCTTGGGCACTGGCAGTTGTGCATGAGAACGTCGTAGTTGTCTCTGGTATACCTCCATTTGTCACACTGAAACCTTCGTAGCCCAGTGGCCCTGCCATGTTTTTCCGCCCTCCCGGCCCTCCCGGCCCTGCCGGCCCTCCCGGACCTTGACACCACTTCGAAACGGAGCCAGTCTTCGAGTTCCTCCCTGGTATGTAAGGTGGAACCGAGCTCCGTGCAGCCTTGGTACCCAAAGTCCCATCCGTGCCCTCAGAAAATCGGAGTTTTTCCAGCGATTGGGCGCTCCCCCAAAAAAGAGAAATTGGTTCCTTAAGGGAAATCAATGGGAACTCAATGCTTGGGGTAATGGGCACAGGATGGCACAGGCACTTCGTTACGTTTCCAACCTAGTCCCAACCTGAGCTGCTGGCGAATGGGTCCAGCAAAGGGCGCCTTTCCAGGGTCGGATGCCAGCACCTCTAGCCACAATGGGACGTTTCTGGTTGTCATGGTTTGTCCATAAACAGGGCGTACCCACAAATGGTGATTTGAATATGGTTGAATAAGGGTCGGGTAATTATGACAAAACATGAATAAGGGTAAGTAATTATAACAAATCATGACAAATCGTCACATTTTCGGCACCTGTATCCAACAACCCCTTGAAGGTCTCAAGTTACTTGTAAACATCCTGCTCTGTCGTGCCTCTTAAATGCAAATATCAATGAAAAGACTGCGTGGCACGCATAGTCAAGGATGAAATTCTAGAAATGTGGAAAGCACCCACCCCAAACATCAGCTGCACATCTGCACCTTGCCGCCAAACCAATATTCCCGTCCAAAGGCCACCACGCCAGTGTGCCAAATGCCTGTCACAAGGCTGCGATCATCAAAACACTGTACATCCTGTCTTTGGCGCAAAGGCACAATGGTGCTTACAAGATTAAGACCACTGATTTCCAGCCTTCAAGATCTTGACCAAGCAATTTACCAGGCACCCATTTTGCATACCCCCGCGACACATCGTACCTGGTGAAGCAACGGCCGAATGAGTTTAGTTAGGAAGATGTGCAGCGATTGCCTATTGCTGCTGCCGTGCTGAACTCCTGTTGCGGGCGTTGTTGCGGACACGACAGCAGCACCCTGCGGTGGCACCCTGCAGTGGCACCCTGCAGCGGCACCAGCACCCAAGCTCCAAAGCGCACACCACTCCGACAGCAGAACGCTTCAGCAGCGCCCTTCAGTGGCACCCTGCAGCTGCACCCTGCACCGGAGCAGCACCCAAGCCCCAAAGCGCAGCACTCTGACAGCAGCACCCTGCAGCGGCACTATCTGGGGAAAAATCATGAAAAATAAATAAAATAACATATATTACACCGGCATAGACCCCAGATAGAAAAGGTTGGAACTGACGGTTCCCAACGTGGGAACCAAAGGTTACCATGGCAAGGAACTGCCGGTTCCCAGACCTTGAAACTTACGGTTCCCAACCTGGGAACCAGAGGTTACCATTGCAAGGAATTGCCGGTTCCCAGAAGTTAGAATTTATGTTTTCGAAGTTAAGCAACTATCATTGTAAGGAACTGCAGATTCCCAAAGTTTGAAACTCATGGTTCCAAACCTGAAAAAGCATACGGTACCAGTGGAAGGATCTGTTGATTCCAAAAAGTTAGAACTTATGGTTCTTAATGTTGTTTTGTTTCGTTTACTGAGCCGGTAACAGAACCTTTTGTTTTGCTTAATGGACCGGTAGCGGAATGTGTGCGTTCGGCTGCTGGGCCGGCATAAAAATGTTTTTGCACGAAAAAGGTGCATGTCAAAATGATATGAAAACAGTTTCTTTACAATTTTACAGCGTGTTCGGGATTGGGGTCCGTAACCGTAAATACGCCGATACGCCGATCGCTGTGTTTGCGCCGATACGCCGTTACGCCGATCGCCGTGTTTGCGCTGATACGCCGTTACGCCGATCGCCGTGTTTGCGCTGATACGCCGTTACACCGATCGCCGTGTTTGCGCCGATACGCCGTTACGCCGATCGCCGTGTTTGCGCCGATACGCCGTTACGCCGATCGCCGTGTTGACGCCGATACGCCGTTACGCCGATCGCCGTGTTTGCGCTGATACGCCGTTACGCCGATCGCCGTGTTTGCGCCGATGCGCCGTTACGCCGATCGCTGTGTTTACGCCGTTACGCCGATCGCCGTGTTTGCGCTGATACGCCGTTACGCCGATCGCCGTGTTTGCGCTGATACGCCGTTACGCCGATCGCCGTGTCTGCGCCGATGCGCCGTTACGCCGATCGCTGTGTTTACGTCGATACGCCGATCGCTTTGTTAGCGCCGATGCACCGTTACGCCGATCGCGGGGTCTGCGCTGCAAATACGCCGAGACGTCGTTCACATAATGCGTGTGCGCGTGTGTGCGTGTGTGTGCGCGGTTGCGCCGATGCGCCGGGTGCTGCGCCTGGGCTGGTACGCTGTTGCTCCGGTCGCTGTGCTGAGGCCGGTGCACCGCGTTTGTCAATATACATGCTGCGACCATCGGCCGAATCAACCGCACAAGGGTGCATTGACCCGTTCAACGGCAAATGACGCTTGACCTTGGCGTTCCTGGCGTCTCTTCGCTCTCTTTCCTCTTTGGAGCACGACTGTACCTTGAACCTGGCGACGTTCTCGTTCTCAGCTGGATACATTCCAGCCTGTATGGGCTTCCCTTTCGCCTTCGCCCTCGGCACCGTGGAAGGTCTGGAGGAGGAAGAGGAAGAGGAGGCGGTGGCTTGGCGCGCAGCTGCCAACTCTTCCTGCAACATGTTGACCTTGCTGTGGAGCTTCATGTTCTCCCGGGCCAGATGTTCCACCCTACGATGCTTCATTTGGCGTTCGTCCCCATGGCCCTCGTCTGTCGGTTCGATCTGAATGGCTTAAAAAAAAAACCAAACAAACCGCCACGACCAAACAAAAGAATTTCTGCAACATGCTATTTGCTGTTCATCCAAGAAGCTGGATGGGCCAAATCGATGGTCACTGTTCCACCGGCTAGCGTTGCCATATCAGGGTTGGATTGGACATCATCCACCATCGTTGGGACTGAGTTCTGATAGGTGAGCAACATGTGGCACAGGTCATCTCCAAGGGATACTGCGGTTTCGATCTCCGCGCGGGTTTCCTCAAACTCCGTCATTGCAGGTAGTTCGGTGGGTGGAGCCACCGAAGACTGATCCCAATGCTCCCGGAATACTGCGGTTTCTATCTCCGTGCGGGTTTGCTCAAACTCCGTCATTTCAGGCAATTCGGTGGGTGGAACCACAGAGGACTGATCCCAAGGCTCCATGGCCATAGCAACAGTTGGAAGGGCAGAGGGTAGTAGGTGAAACCAGCTGTGGCTCCCTCAATCATTGAGATGGAAGGGAGTGGACATGGTAATGTAAAGCTGAAGGATGGTGAGTGGTGACTGCTCATTGTGATGGAACATTCTGTGAAATGATGCACAGTATTTCTAGTCAGCCTGACAAAGGTTCAAGCTTCAAAAAGCTAGACTGTGACTATGTCTTGCTTGGTATCTTGCGGAAACACAATGTCAAGTATCAAATATTCCATGGAACTCGAACACACCGACGGAATCCTCAATCTTCCTTCAAAATTGGCTAGCAAGCTAACCCCAAACCTGCATGAAGCACCAAACCAGCACGCTGACTTTAGAGCATTGCCCTATCCTCACTCTCCGCAATGTCATTAAAAAACGGGAGTTGGCGTCCCCAAGGCGTACGCCCTAGGGCACCATGCTAAAATGTCCACAATGTCAGTCAAAAAACAAAGAGCTGCCGTCCCCAAGGCGTACGCCCTAGGGACAGCGCAACTCTGCCATCTTCACTGACCAGCGAAATTTGCGACGTCAGCAGCAAAGCGCGCCATGCCACGGACAAATTCCACTTGTGCAAAGTCATCGGAAAGAAGCCCAAAGGCGCGCAAACAACGCAGAGCCGCAAGGAATTCAGGCTTGTGGTCCCAAGAGTGCCGCCCAAGTGCCTCTGCCAACGGCCCTGCAAACACGATTGCCATGTCGTCCACGTGGTCACCTCCTGCGGTTGCATCTGGCACGATGAAAAGCTCGGGCTCCCAGCTGGAGGCAGCGAAGCGTTGCAGCAGCTCCAGTTTTGCATCACATGCGACTTGTAATGTGGCCACGAAGTCTGCGGCCACCATTGGAAACGACGAAGGCCAGAAGGAAAGCCAGGAGCGAAAGCAAGAAAGCAAAGCGATGGCGTAAGCCACACAAGGGTGCAAGAAGGGGCCTGGAGCAGGCCACCATGAGGTGCACTCCGTTATGATGTCTCCCACAAACCGATCCAAACAAGCGTCAGTGGAATGGCCTTCCATCATGGCTGTAGACAATGGCAGTTGGTGAAGCAACCTTTGGTGCTCCATGTCGTTAAAAACACAGATCATATCTTGTCAATAAGCAATGTCTGCCGACATCAATGTGACTGAACTGTTGCTGACATGGACTGACTTAATTGGACACGGCTGTACTTGAACCACATCTGACTTGTACAATCACTGATAAGTATATCGAAGAAACGCTGACACCCACATGGATCTGCAACGCTCGTTAAAGAATGGCTAGCAAGCTAACCGTACGAGGCTCATGGAGCAGCCAACCAGCAAGCTGGCTTTGGCTTAAGTCAAAGCTTACAACAATGAATGTCTACAGCGCGCACCCTACAGATAGCGCCTGCATCAGATACGTTCGGTGCTGCTATAAGAAAACCGCGGCAATCCTCGAGCGAGGCCACCTTCGAGAAAGCGGGCAAGCTGTATCATAGTCCATCAAAACTGTCAATCACAGCGGGCCCAATTAGGCCTTGCATGGTTCGCTTAAAATTTGGTAAGGAAGAGTGTATGATGAATGTGGTAAGGAAGAGTGATGAATGAACCTGTAATGAATGAGAATAAAGTTACTATAGGTCTTGTGCATCTGCAAGCAATCTTGACAAGCAAAAGACTGCTCTTCTGATCTCGCTGGGCTCGGCACCGATCACACCAGGCACTCTGCTGAAGGCAGTCCCGCAGCCACATGCGCCGCATCCGCCGCACCCACCGGCACAAATTATATATACGTAGAAATATATGTGTATATATATATATCAATTATATATACGTAGAAATATATGTATATATATATATATATATTAAATAAAATATGTTATATATATATATGTATTATAACGTATGGATCAGAGGTATGGAATAGAGGTATGGAACGGATCCTTCTTATGGAACGGGGGTATGGAACGGTTGTGGTCCCGGAGCTTGTTCCGGACCTAACGTTTTGACTTGCCCTCATATGTGTGTATACTTACATATTCTACGCACACACACCACCATGTTGTGGCCCAGTGAGCCCCAAAGGCCACAGAGTCCGAGTGGTCCGAGTGGTCCGAGTGGTCCGAGTGGTCCGAGTGGTCCGAGTGGTCCGAGCGGTCCGAGTGGTCCGAGTGGTATCCGTTTTTTCACAACATCCTTTTGCACCTGATAGTCATGGATGGTCAAGGCAGCCTCTTTATAGGCCCACAGCTTTGGAACCCAACCTTGCTATGCAAAAGATGGTGAAATCATCTACCTAGAAATGGGTCGGTTGCCAAAATACAGATGGTACGAAATTATTTCTTTGTAAAATACAGGTGGTAAGAAATATTTCTTCAAACACCCGCCCATGCGACAAGTGACACATGAAACATCTGCCCGTGCTGGCGCGCACGGCAGAAGAATAGGAAGGCAAACACACCACGTGGCCCCAAGACACCACAGGAAGTTGGACCTGGGCGGATTGGGAAGCGCGCGCATTGGCGATTAAATAATGAATGAATGGCTTTCAACTGTGTATCCCATCTATTACTTCATGGCCTGGATTGCCTTCTTACTTGCGCAGGCTCCAAATGTTCATTATTCTTGACCTGTGGAAATGACGCAAAACCAACTAGCTGGAAAACCAAAGACCACCCAGAAAAAAGACCAAAACTCTGAAAATCGATGATGTCACCAAATTATACCCATGTTAATCAGAAAACAACGACAAACCTATGAATTCATTGGCGTTATCCATCATTTTCAATCCAACACAATCATTTTCAATCCAACACAAGCGGAGGAAGGGTTTGATGGTCCTCTCGAAGTCACTTGTTCTTAAGACATTAGATGCAACTAACCTAGTGGCAGTCTAGGTTTTTAAACTGAGGCATTGCGTTCAAACCCGAACCATCCCATGGTTGCAGCCAGGCTCTTGTACCAGACATAAGACCGAACAACAACAAGCAAACGTTCGCACCCAGCGACCCGGCTTTTCTCAGCTTGCGGTGCCTGGTCTGCAAGTTTATTGCGTTCAAGCAAAGGCAACTGTAATGACCCTGCTGCCCAGTTCGCCCAACAAACCCAGGTGCCAGAGTGCGAAAGGCAGACGCAAAGTGGCTATGGCTACCAAAAAGGGATTATAACTTATAACATGCTATAGCCCCTTATACTGGGGTGACTATCATAAGCATGACCAGCAAAAAAATACAGGCGACAGGATGCAGTCTGTTCCTTTCAGCAAAAAGGTTTGAAACTCCCCGGGCATACTGCGCGACTGGTTGCGAAATTGAGCGCAGCAACAGCGAACATCGTTTTTCCCTCATCTCCCCAGGTGCGATGATGGCTTTGTGCACTTTGAAGTGACAAAGCAGCAAGGGTTCCATGCTTCCTCAAAAAAATCGTTCTTTGCATCCCGATGGATTGCTTGGAGGGGTCAAGGTTCCGGTTCCAAAATCCTCGCACCACAAAGGCTTTGCAGAGAGAGGTCAATCAACGATTTCATGGGCGCTGTTGGCCCGACGAATTCAAAGCAAAAAAATTGGTCGTGTTGGTGAAACAAGTTTGTCTGACGCCGTGTAGGGCATAGAATTTGCGTTGATGGGTAGAGATCTGGCCATTATGAAAACAGAAAGCAAAGGTCAAAAATTACGATGGCTCATTGGTACTAACTTTCCAAAACAATTACCAGTAGTACCGCGCAAGGCGGTGGCGGAAGTTTCAAAGATAGGAAACCTATAGGAGAGGTTGGTTGCTGTGAATGATAGATGGCAGAGCGAACCCACTGATGGACCGACAAGTGGTTGTAAACCCGGGTCTTGCCGGCGTGTGGGCAGCGACCGCCCTGGTGACTGTATCATAAGCCAGCCGGGCGCGGTCGGGAGTGGTGACAACATAGAGGTCGTCCAGGTAAGCAGCTAAGCACTCGGTGGGGAGCAGCTGTTCCGCTGCCCCGGTGAGCGCGTCATGTTGGCCAAGCGCAAAAAGGGCCGGAGCCAGCGCGTCGCCTTGCTCGAGGCCTTCGCCCTGGGGCACTCGGTGGCAAACATTGTGTTGTTCCCACCAGAGGAATTCAGAGGGGGCGCCGTACCAGGCGCGCGTGAAGGGGACAAGGGCCGGCGCGACCTCAAGCAATTTGTTGAAAACGGCCGCCCGGCTGATGGTGTCGTAGGCGCTGCGGCCATCCACAGACACGACCGTTATGCTGGGGTCCGTGTCCAGGGCAGCCGACAGAACAGCCGCCAGCGCGTCGGTGCCGGCGCGCGCGTGGAGCGCAAATTGGTACGGGCGGGTGGCAGTGTCGAACACCGCTGCATGGGTACGCGCGAGGGTTCGAGCAGTGAGGCGACGCAGCGCGTCGCCGGTGGCGATCCCGCGCACACCAGCCCCCCCTGGTTTGGTCAGGGCTGTTAGGCGGGATAAGGCGAGGGCGCGCAGGATGGGTTCCGGGACCGCTGCTTGGCCGAGTTGGGTCACTGCGTGTGTGAACAGCTGTAACCCTTCCTCGCTTTCCAAGAGAAGTTTGTAATGTTCCATGGATAGTGGCGCCGGAAAGTCCGGCTGCCGCTCCGCGCTTGGCGGTGCGGAGGCTTTCGGCAACGTCCCGCTGTGTGAGTTGGAGGGCCGTTGCCGGCTGGAAAGCAGGGAGGTGGTCCGGTAGAGGCCGCGTCAGAGCGGGAGGGCGGCGCTCTGGGTTGGTGAGAGCAGCCAAGGTAGCCGGCGTGCCGGGGGCGAGCGCCGCACTGGTGAGCGTGCTGCGCGCCTGCGAAAGATCGCCTGTGCGAACTGGCCTGCTGCTGTAAGGGAGGGAAGCACGACCCGCTCGCGGTAGGATGTAGAAGTGGCGAGCGTGGCGGCGTGTTGCCACCCGTGGAGAGCAAGGCTTGGTTCCCCAGCGTCGAGGCGAGGATGGGACACGGAAGGAGTGCGGAACGCTTCCCATGGAGGACAAGCTTCCCAGCCGTGCTCGCGCAAGAAAGCGCCGGCAGTTGCTGCGGCACGGAAACAGGCGCGGGAGGAGTGAGCGCCTAGAGTCAGCTGTGTGATGCAATGGTCGGCCATGCCGGGGCGACGTTGGGCTATGACTATGACTGGCAAAGCGTCCGCCCAGGCTGCCCAGTAGGCAGCTTCTCTGGGGAACCAAGCCTTGCTCTCCACGAGTGGCAACACGCCGCCACGCTCGCCACTTCTACATCCTACCGCAAGCGGGTCGTGCTTCCCTCCCTTACAGCAGCAGGCCAAGCCTTGCTACGTTCCCAAGCAGGCCCTCACACTGGCGCCTGGCTCACAGCCATCCCCAGCGCGCCGGCCACCACATTGGTTCCCCATCATATTGCAGGTGCATTGGTAGTTGTAATGCAGTTGTAGTTGTACTTGTACTTGTAGTTGTACTTGTAGTTGTAATGTAGTTGAAGTTGTAGTTGTAGTTGTTGTAGTTGTCGTTGTAGTTGTAGTGGTTGTTGTGGTTGTTGTGGTTGTAGTTGTTGTAGTTGTAGTTGTTGTAGTTGTAGTTGTTGTAGTTGTCGTTGTAGTTGTAGTGGTTGTTGTGGTTGTAGTTGTGGTTGTAGTTGTAGTTGTAGTTGTAGTAATAGTGCAGTGCAGTGCCACGCCTGCCCTGCAAAATGAAAGCAGATGTCGCCAAGTGCCACGCCTGCCACGCAAAAGAGGCGCGGCGCCACAGGGGACCAGCGCCGACCAAGGCCGCCACCAGAGCCAGCCCAGTGCCGTGAGTGCCACGCCTGCCACACAAAACGAAGGCACATGTCACCAAGTGCCACGCCTGCCACGCAAGACGAAGGCAGATGTCGCCAAGTGCCACGCCTGCCACGCAAAAGAGGCGCGGCGCCACAGGGGACCAGCGCCGACCAAGGCCGCCACCAGAGCCAGCCCAGCGCGGCGCACACAAAAGTATGTGACAAGTTGTGTGTGACAATGTGGTGTGTGAGAGAGTTGTGTGACAATAATGTTGTGTGTGAAAGAGTTGTGTGTGACAATGTTGTGTGTGAGAGAGTTGTGTGTGTGTGACAATGTTGTGTGTGAGAGAGTTGTCCAAGTCCAAGGGAAGGCTCTTCAGTTCAGAAGCCAAAGGTTGGAGGGCGGCAGAGAAAAGCAATGGCCCAAGCGGGTCACCTTGTTGAACTTGGGCTGTGGCGTGAAGAGTGTGGCCCGGGCAGGCTGCACCACCGTGCCGAAAGAGGATCATGGGTCACTGCAGCCAGAGGTGTTGGACGTGCAAGTCAGAAGGGTGAGGAGGCACCTGCACAGCAAATCTGGCACCTGGCAGGGGCCAACCGGCCGTCCCTTCCACTGGATCATGTCTTGAGTCTTGAGCCACCATCAATTTCTCCATTGGAAATGCAAGTCTATGGGAACGCCCGAGTTCAGGCACATTCAACTCATACAAATTGTGGGTTTTGTTTGTGAAATATGTCTCTGGAACCCGTAAACATGTATGAAATGCCACGACTATGAGGAAATGGTTTCAAAATTGCGCTCTCCGGCCGGCTCCACTCTTCAACGCTGCCAGGCTAGAAAAAAGAGCCTTGCCATCCCCAAGGCGTACGCCCTAGGGAGGCTCGTGCTCGCGCTATTTCTTGCCTGGTCAGGAGCATTGTCATCCCCAAGGCGTACGCCCTAGGGAGAGATCATGCTCTTGCTGAATTTTTGCCTGGCCAGGCATTCAAGGGAGGAGTCAAAAGCATTGCCATCCCCAAGGCGTACGCCCTAGGGACAGTGCCTGCTCACGATTTCTTGCCTGGTCAGGAGCATTGTCATCCCCAAGGCGTACGCCCTAGGGAGAGATCATGCTCTTGCTGAATTCAAGGGAGGAGTCAAAAGCATTGCCATCCCCAAGGCGTACGCCCTAGGGACAGTGCCTGCTCACGATTTCTTGCCTGGTCAGGAGCATTGTCATCCCCAAGGCGTACGCCCTAGGGAGAGATTGCCATCCTGGCCAGGCATTCAAGGGAGGAGTCAAAAGCATTGCCATCCCCAAGGCGTACGCCCTAGGGACAATGCCTGCTCACGATATGTCTCTGTGCATGAAGAAACAAGTTCAAAATTCCGTGCCATGAATCACGACTCCTCCCTCAAACGCCTGGGCCTGGCCAGCGGCAGTTCCGCTTTTTCTTCCCAGCCTGTGGTCAGCTTCTTCTTCGCGCCCTCCTGGCCATAATCTGGGGTGGATTTAGTAAGGTTCTTTGCGCTGATTGGTGGTGCTTCTATGTTTTAAGACATGGTTATAGAGTTGGTTTTTAACATATGTTACAAGTCATTCAGGGATATGTATGTGTTGCCCAAAACTCTCTTGATTTAACATATTGGAGAAAACGTATTGCTTCAAACATGTTTGTCTTGTTTAGATGTTACTGTTTCCATGATCAACTCATGTAAATTCATATGTCACATGCCTTGCCGAAGGCTAAACCCTCCTGAGCAAAGATCATTTACCAGTGTTTCCATAATGAATTCAGATTTCCTGTCCTGGCCAAGGAGGTACACCTTCCTGAGCAAGGATTTCATTCACAAGTTTTCATTATCACACCTCCTGACCAGGACCAAGGAGGTGCACGCAACAATCATTGACATGTTTTCATTATCCATCAGTGTCCTGACCAAGGAGGTGCACCCTCCTGAGCAAGGATCACTGACATTCATCATATAAGCTTCCTTGGCCAAGGAGGTAGACACTCCTGAGAAAAGTGTTTTGTGAACTTCTTCTTTTTTTTTGCCACGTTCATTGCGCAGAGAGGCTTCTATAATAGTTTCCTGGACAATTGGTCAACGCCAGCAGCTACTAGGGGGAAGTCACGCAAGGAGGCTCCTTAGGTCTCGTGTGTCAGTAGCAGTGTTTTCTCAACCAATGCTTTCAGCCATGTGTCAGACGAGCTAAGCGACAAGATTTGGCCAGCTCCTCATGCCGGTGAGCCCAAAGGGGTCGACTTTGTTTTGCTGTGCAGGAAATGTGTGTGTCTCGGCCTTTGGTGATGCGCGGCATTTTCGCGCGAAAACGCGAAAACGCGAAAACGGGCAGCAAAACGCGAAAACGCGAAAACGCGAAAACGCGAAAACGCGAAAACCGCGAAAACGGGCAGCAAAACGCGAAAACGCGAAAACGCGAAAATCGCGAAAACCGCGAAAACGCGCACGGAAGTACAAGAGCGCGAAAGTTGGACAGCTATGATCATCTCCGGATCTAGCGGCACGTCAATGCAAAATAATTATATTGCGCTGCAATAGCGGTGTTGATCTGTGTTGCACTGGGACTTCAAGTACAGAGTAGTGGAATGCAGGTTCATGTGATGTGAATGTTTTTTACGGTATCTATAGATCTATATTTCATTCTAGTCCTACCTACCTACCTAGCTAGCTAGCTACCTACCTACGTATCCATCCATCCATCCATCCGTCCGTCCATCCAATCTATCTAATCTATCTAATTTATCTATCTATTGTAATCTATCTATCTAGTCCATCTGTTTTATCTAATCTATCCGATCTATCATATCCATCCATCCATCCATCCATCCATCCATCCATCCATCCATCTATCTATCTATGTAAGCTATGTACCTAAGCTATGTATCTAAGCTATGTATCTCAGCTATGTATCTAAGCTATGTATCTAAGCTACGTATCTATGTATTGATGTATCTATGTATCTGTGTATCCATGCATCTATCCCACTCTCTCTCTCTCTCCTCTCTTTCTCGTCATCTCTCTGTTTATCTATCGATCAATCTACCAAGCCGTCTATCTATCTGCCCGTCCATCTGTATATCACCTATCTTCGCCTTATCTATCTGCCTACCTACCTACGTACCTCTCTATCTCTCTATATCTCTATCTCTCTATCTCTCTATCTATCTGTCTATCTATCTATCTATCCATCTATCTATCTATCTATCTATTTATCTGTATTTCCTCTATCGCTTGTCTAATCCTTCCCAACCTTTAATGTTCTGTCATCCAATCTACCTGTATTTAGTGTTCTTGTTATGCATCCGTGTTTTAATCAAAATTCGACGGACATATTTATGCATATTTATGTAGTCTGCATTTATGTTCTCATCTATGCTGGCATCTTTGTTTGTTTGCATGTATTTATTGAGGTGGTGCATTGCAATGCAAGCAAAAGGAAAAGTGGCAAAATAATGAAACTTAACGGACTGCCTTTATGCCTGCAGGCACGTGTGCATGCATGTTTCGGACGTATGTATGCATGCATGTGTGTCTCTTTGCATCGATCTTTGTATCTATTTATGTAGCTGGCGCAGCGCGTTGTAATATGATGCATGTGATGTAATGCCTTGTAATTTCAACTCAACCAATATATAATATATTGCATATATATATTACATAATTATACATAGTATACATAAATATATATTATACAAATATTTATATTTTACATACATATATATATATATACATATTACATATATAAATATGGTTTACATATATATATTATACATATATATATATATATATATATATATTATACATATATCTATTATACATATATTTATATTATACTAATATATATATATATTTATACATATTACACACATATATTTATATGTATATATGGTTTACATATATATATATATACATATGTTATATATATATATGTATATCATATATATATACATATATCATATATATTTATATTATACATATATATATTACATATATATATATTACATATATATTTTACATATATATATATTATACATTTATATACATGTATATATATAAAATACATATATATATATATATACGATGTACATTCATTTACGGGCATACACATTTATGCATGTAATGCAACATATATGTGAGTGTGTTTGGATGCATGGATGAGTGTGTATAATGTGAAATCCAGCATTGCGGTGTCGTGTGGCGTCACGTAACACAAAATGTAATGCCGCACAACGAAGTGGGATGCATCTTTGTATGTATCTTTGTATGTGTACAGCTATGTATGTCTCTATGTAACTATGTATGTCTCTATGTATGTCTCTATGTATGTCTCTTTGTATGTCTCTATGTATGTCTCTATGTATATCTCTATATATGTCTCTATGTATCTATGTATGTCTCTATGTATCTATGAATGTCTCTATGTGTGAACATTATGGAATGCCTTGCCATGAATCGGACGGTGAACACAACGAAAACATGCATGTACCGATGTATGTACGATTCTCACATGATCTACGTATATGAAATGCAGCGTAACATCATAGCATGTTGTGCATTTATGCGTCTATGAATCTCGGTATCTTTGGCGTGTGTG